TTTTTTTTTTTTTTTTATATATATATATATATATATATATATATATATATATATATATATATATATATATATATATTTTTTTTTTTATTTTTTTTTTTTTGGTTTTTAATAGTCTGTCTCCATCCTATGTAAAGATAAAGAATCCTACGTCCCGATTGACATCTTAGTATATTTTTGCTATTTTAAATGACCTCGTAGGATTTTATTAATCAATTTCATAACTATTTGGATTTCAGTGATGTCTCACTTCATGGTTCAATTGTTTCACAAAGTATTATTTTCCAGTACCTTTTTGTTTTTGTTAAGACTGCTATAAATGAATCAGACATTGACGTTTTCATCTCTCATTCCCCTCACTGCTAACATTTTCCTTTTTATCTTAGCTTTTTGTCTTGCGGATTCTAATAACCCTTTTTTTTTTTTTTTTGCCTCTGTGGCCTCAAATCTGCCGGGAAGGGATCAAATGTTCCTGACTGATGATAATTGGCTAACAGACTTACTAGAGCTTGGAAGCTAATTAAAGAGTATCATAATCACCTGTCAGCTCCTCTGCTGTTGTCTGGGCGGCACAGAGACGTTTCATTAGACGCCTAAAAATAGCTTCCCCCCTCGTGTTGTGACACCTCACTCCTCACCTTTCCCTCTCATCAAAGCGCCCGACAGCCGACTCTTCACGTTCTCTCCGACACTCACCGGCTCCAGCTAATCCGAAGTGGGACGTTTGTTAGGGTTTCCGATCACACGCCCTGCACAAAGTGAACCGAAGCTGAGCTCGCTTAGTCTGTCACTAAAGAAGACATTTATAGTCGAGGAGGACACAAATAGGGAAGAAGAATGGCTTTTGTCATTGCTCATAAAACGTTCTTCCTTCTTCTTCATACAGTTTCAAATCCTCTCAGCTGAATTCACACAGACCCCGTTCTATTAGCATTATCAGCTGCGGCAGTGACGCCTTCTATTGGCATGCTCCTCTAAGAGGTTTGTTTTGGAAGCGTTTTATATTTTCTCAAGATTTAAACTCAATTATAGGTGCATTAATATTTCGCAGGGATAAACCCAACGTGTCAGCGGCACCTGTAGGTGTTTTATAGGGGATGAAAGGCAACAGGAGGGGGGCGGGGGCTATCCACACAGGTGCGCCACTCAAGCATCGGCCGTTTGCTCAGTAATGATGATAAATGGTGCTCTACCTCGAAGCATAATGTGTTCCTTTTCTCCTCTCAAACTCACCACAGAATCAGAGATTTAGCTGGAATTTATCTGTGTATTGTGAAGCCACTTCAAAACACAACTAATCTAATCAGGATTTCATTAGTTCCCACAAATGTACCTTTCCTAGGAAAAAAAAAAACATAAGGCGCACAGCAAGAGATACCGTAACTCTACCATAACTTTATTATATTTAAAGCAATATTACGATCTGTCTGGTGACAACGGATGCACACACTCAAACCTGAGGCAGTTTATATTTGACAATAAGTAGGGTGTAATGACACACACAAGCTTCAAAACAAGACAATGCGCGACAATGCGCAGTAATGAGATGGGGAAGAAAAACATTATGATTGGTCCCAGTGCCAAAGAAAATATTTTCTAAAGCACAGAACAGTTTGTGAGGTTTCAAAACTGCTTCATATCATCTTATACAACATTGGAGTTCCCCACAGTATATTGTTGTCTCCCTTCCTATTCACCACCGTCACTGCGGACTTGTAGTAACTGTTCCAGTCTGTGCCATTTGCAAAAGTCCTCAGATGGCGCAGATATGGTGAGGTGTGTGGAGGAGGGACGGAAAGTGGAGGGCAGCACTTTGGTGGATAGTTTTGTTGCGTGGTGCAGAGAGAACCAACTCCAGCTAAACGCAGACAAGATTAAAGAACTGATGGTCAGTTTCAGCAGTAAACATCTTTGCTCCCAATCTCCAGATGTGGAGCAGGTTCTATCCTACGAGTACCTCGGTGTTAGCTTGGTCTGGAGGCTACAGTGGGCCATGAACCCTGATGTATTCTACAAAAAGGCCGTAAGCAGACTATTTCCTATGCAAGCTCAGCAGATTGTTCGTCATGTTCTATGAATTATTACTATCTAATTCTGTCTTCAATGCCACGGTGTGCTGGGTGCTGCAATGAAGGCGAAGGACTCAAAGAGACTCAAACAGCTGAGTGAAGTTGGCCCCTTCACCTTCTTCAAATCTAACAAAATTGGTGTCAAACCTTTGTTCTATACTTGTGCAGCAAAAAATTTTGTCTGCACTGCTTTTGCCTTGGAGATATTAATTAAAGTTTAAAGGTCAGATGGTACAAAAGCCTGCCACTGTCATGATCTGTGTTTATTTTGAGTTTTTCTATGTTTTCCTGTTTCCCTGTGAGTCTCTGTCCTGTCCTCCCCGTTGATTGATCCCCAGGTGTGTCTCGTTTCCTTAATTACCCCGTGTGTATTTAAACCCACCTGTTGTCTGTGTTCCTCGTCGGGTCCTTGTCGTTTGTCAGTGTCTAACGTCTCAGTTTTGTATGTTCACTCCAGTAGAACTGTTTAAGTCCTGGATAGCGTTAGCTCTCGTTTCAGTCCTGTGTATCAGTTGCTACCGGTATTTGGCTGTGTGCCTGTCTTTCTGCCGTGCTGCCTGTTTTTGGACTGTGAGCATCATCATTAAATATATTCATCTTCTTCACCACCTACAACCCCACTTCATGACAGCCACATTACCCAAATCTAACAACATTGGTGTCAAGCGTTTGTGCAGTACAAAATTTGAGTTTCAGTCGCTATCATTTTAAAAATATTAATGTTACAGAGTTCATCAGAGGTCATGGGGTGATTGACTTGTAGTGACATCTGGAAACTTTTGTTAGTAATATCTTTAAAATGATTGCAGCAAAATCACAAATTTTTACTGCATTAATGTAGCTGAGCTGATTTACACCAATTTAGTCTGATTTGAAGAAGGTTGGGGGGCAACATCACTGTTCAACAGACTGACAAAGGCTGAGTGAGTTGTTGAGATCGAGCTGGATCCACTGGTGAGAAACGGAATGCTGTTCATTCTGACGGCAACTAAAAAGTGGAGCAGACTTCACTTTGACTGGTAATATTGCTGCACTCCCAGCCATTTTAGCTGGAATTAAGAATGTAGTTTTCACAAATAGAGAAGCCCTACTGTCTTGTTAGTTATTTATAGCTGGGGTTCTGTCAGGTTCTGGAAACCAGAAAGTGCAGAAATAAGCAAACGCGCAATGATTAATAATTTATGTAGTCGAGATGGTTATTAACTGTCAAAGCCTTACCTTATGGTCCACTCAAACAGTTTGCTGGAAAAAAAAAAAAAAAAAAACAGGACAGCTTATGCTTTATACCTTGGCACGCTGGCAGCTCTCTCTGCTGGGAACTTGCTGCTTTAAGCAAAACCTGATGTCCACATATGTCTCAGTGGAGGCATGAAACACTGAGGACGATGTTCTCACACTATTTTCTACTTTCCCTCCTAAAATATCATGTTAGAGCAACGGGGGTAGGTGATGCATCACTTTCCTACTTTGGGGAGAAAATATTGTACTCACTGTCATGAAACTTAAGAAATTCAATACATTTAAAATATGCATATCATGATTATTATTTATACTACTGGCAAAAATTCACCCTTCAGCTATGAATGTTTGGTCCTTAACTCTTCTGAGTGAAAACAAATAGATTAGAGGTTAAAAACTATTGCTTAGCAAAAAAAAAAAAAATGTCACATTTGTCTCATATTTCAAGAACAGATATTACTGTCTTTTGACCAAGAGTAGAAACTGAGCTTTATAAAATGGCAGTTGACCTTTAGAGGTCTGTGTCTGGGATACGTTTATGTGGGGTGCACCAGGGCTCTGTTGTTGTTCCACTCTAGTTCACACTGTATTTGCTGCCTCTCAGTCATTTTAGTGAATTTAAGAATGTCTCTGAGGATTTGTATGTGAGTGACCTACAGATGTGCTTTTAGTTTAATCCTGATCCAACTGAGAGTGTCAAACTCTGAGACTGAATTTCTAAAATCAAAGACTGGCTGGAGTTAAATGACACAGACGGACATTACTTTCGCTAAAGTGGCTAACTCTGTTGGTTCCCTCATTGTGCAGCTAAGGCTGGCTCGGGTTGTTTTCCATTTTAGAAATAAAATCACAACTTGAGCTGGAAATAATTCCTGTAAATCTATTTACAGTCCCTCCTAAACCATCTATAGGTCGTCATCAGCTAGCCCTGAACGCATCAGCCATGCTACTGACAACAGCTGGTCAGTTCGGTCACATAACTCTTGTCTTTACACTGGCTTCCAGTCAATGATAGGATCTAATATAAAGTTATTGATATTACATACCCTGCATGGTCAGGCACTTTTATTGCTGTCTGACTTGCATGCTCCTAGTAGGACCCTGAGGTCATCTGATCAGGGTTTGTTGGTTTTCCTGCTGACCAAACTTTAAAACTAAAGAAAGTCCTGGAATCTGTTTAGAGGCACTTTTTCAATTCCAGCTGTATACAATGCATTTTCTTTGAATTACTGGATTACTTTACAGTGATATTTATATTGTATGAGTGTGTTTTACCTCCTAAAGTGCTTTGCAGTACTATGTGAGAAGCGCTATAAATTCGACTTATACTTACTGCTTTTTAAAAAGAACTCTGATACAGTTTGAAGCTTTGTGGAGAGCACTCTCATTTGTAATGGTATCAGGTATTTTGGGCATATTTGTCTCTTCTTCTGTATCCCATAGACATTTTTTTGACTTTGTAGATTTAGGGTCTTTCAACACATAATGGCTTCAGTTCCATTGGGGGCCAAAATTGCAACATTTACTACATTTTCAGCTGCTGGGATTTACTTTTCACTGCACTGTCAAACGAACCGATCCCCATGAGTAACCTGTTTACTTTTCTTTAACATTCAACCCATGCAAAAAATAAAAAATAAAAAATACAATTCAACTTTCAGTGCATGACAGCAAAAATATTAACTTGCTGCTAATTGTTGACAAGCAGGGATATTTAGCGTATGACTCACCGGAGAGTCACAGCAAACAAATAAAGTGATTAAACCCCAAAAATGGATTACTTCAGATTTTGGCAGACAGACGGGGAAACAGAAACATGGTGTTATTCTTCTTTGTTGGTTGTTTTGCCCCCATGTCCACCGCTGTGGCTCCAGGGTGCTTTACATGCACTTACTGCCACTTTGTGGCGACACGTAACACAGGCTAGGATTTATAGCGGCGCAGTCAGTTTCTGTTCTGTATGACAAAAAATTTCGACTCTTCAAACTGCAAAATTGTCAAAACTCTAAATTATTATTATTTTTTTACTTTTGAAATTACATGTTTTTTTTTTTCTAGAAAATTTCAGTTATTAATCTCAAAATTTCTGAGTTTTTTGTTGAAAATTTACTTTTTTTTTCCATCTTCAATGGCCCTTATACACTGTGGTAGTTCCGTCTATGAACCACCAACAGGGGGACATTTTCATCAATCAATAAATGCCGTCCTGATGTCCCCAACAGAACCTGAAACAAGGACATGTCCGGGGAAAAGAGGGTCCCACCTTACTGTATGTCTTGAATCAGAGGTACTGAATGTATATCTAAGTTCAAAAATATTTAATTTTGTCAAACATTATTAAATGTTATGGTAGAAATCCAACACCATGCAGCTGAGGTTTAAAGTTGCACATTATTCTTATATAGTCCCGTTCCACCACTGCAGTTTAAAATGCTCTGTTCTCCAATGTGTCACAAACGTGTTTATTTTTACCAAAATGTTTAGTCTACACTCATCGATAATTCATAAAGCCTCAGCTGAGAGAGCAATTTAAAAGAGGCAAACAACAGCCGTCTGCGCTATGAGATCATTGCATAAAAAAAAGGAGGCAAACTGTGATCTTTGAGAAAGCACCTTCCTGCAGAGGATACCTCGCGATATTTGATGAAGCGGCAGACTGAAATAGCATCGCTGGATCATGACA